TCTCTCTCTCTCTCTCTCTCTCTCTCTCTGCTCCTCTCCTGCTCTCTTTCTAAAATAAGTATAAATAAATAAACAAACAAATAAATAAATGCAACTTAAGCCTACTGCTTACTCAGCATTAAGGCAGAACAGGGGACCTGCTAATTTGGTCTCTTTCTAGACTGCTCGATCGTGCCAGGGGTCACCTGGGGACATTTATATGAGCCTTTTTGTCAAGTCATCAGCGAATGCAGTCGGCAGTTTGGCCGGTTTGAGTGAAGGGGCCACATAAAAATGAAATATTAATTCAGCTTCCCCTCTTTACTATTTATAAAGTCAAAACAGAGAAGGCTGTTCCTCAAGCCCGACCACAGTGGGTGTGGAAGCTGCAAGTTCATGGCAAATTGTCAGTGTCTCGGCAAAAAGAAAACTAAATCTTTAGACGAAATCCCAGCTCAGCAAACCCCTCAGCAGCTGTGGGGAGGACTCAAGGTCACAAAATGCCTGGACCATAAAATACAGTGACGGCCGCTCTGTACTAGACTTTGCCGTAAGGTCAACCTCAGAAAACCACCCCGGTCTTCTTCCTGTGTCAGGTGTGCAGCAAGCTAAGAAGGGGAAACCCCGTATCTCCTTGCTGGGACGGAACACCTAGCAGGCCCAGGGGGTCTGCAAGTTGGGGCCCCGCAATGTGGATTTGTGCTAATGTGTAGCATTGGCGTGGATTAATCTGGAAAGTTCCACTAATATTAAATTTCTTTTTTTTTTTTAAAGAAATTTTGAGAGAGAGCGTGAGTGGGGAAGGGCAGAGAGAGAGGTGAGCAGAGGATCAGAAGTGGGCTCCGTGCTGACAGGCTGACAGCAGCGAGCCTGATGCGGGTCTCGAACTCACAAACTGTGAGATCATGACCTGAGCTGAAGCTGGATGCTCAACCCCCTGAGCCACTAGGTGGCCCTACATTTTTTTTTTTAACGTTTATTTATCTAGAGAGAGAGAGAGAGCATGCAAGTGAACGGACGGGCAGAGAGAGAGACTCCCAAGCAGTCTTCACACCATTGGTGCTGAGCCCACGTTGGGGCTCGATCCCGTGAACCTGGGAGATCATGAACTGAGCCGAAACCAAGAGTCCGATGCTTAACCAACCGACTGAGCCACCCAGGTGCCCCTCCACTAGTATTAAAAGGAAGAGTTAGATTCGCTTACAAAAATTATTTCTGTAAAAGGCACCGAGTGGCCCCAGAAGCCTGTCCATGACCCCTGTAATTTCTAGTGTTTACTAGTTTATTAATTTCCACACAAGATTCAAGCTAACTAAGTGAATGTTTGATTCAGTTCGGCAGAGGAAAACACCAAACACAGAAAATGATGCTCTGCACGTGGATCTCGGACTCAGACCTTTTTTGGTTCTCCAAAAATTGAACTACTTTTAGTTAAAAAAAAAAAAAAAAAATCAGCACCTGGGGCACCTGGGTGGCTTGGTCGCTTAAGTAGCCGACTCTTGGTTTCGGCTCAGGTCATGATCTCATGGTTCCCGGGTTTGAGCCTGGCGTTGGGCTCTGTGCTGACAGCAGGGAGCCTGCTTGGGATTCTCTCTCTCCCTGTCTCTCTGTTCCTCCCCCACTTGTGCCGTCTCAGTCTCTCTCAAGATAAATAAACTTAAAAAAAGATCACCACCTGAAAACCCTTCCCATCCGCAGGATCCGCAGAACGATAAGACCTCCGTGAAATCTCACCTGCACCCCCAGCCCGGAGTTGGGAGACTTTACTGCACTGAGTGGGGCAGATAAACAAAGCCCTGGGAGTCACCCCCCGGAATTGTTCTCTGTAAACCCAACAGTATAGAAGAGAGACGTCACTTCTTCTGTCCCAGGGGCACTTTGACATCGTATGTGCTTTTCCTGGGCAGCAACGACTCAGTTCCCCGAGGTTTTCTCCAGGGAAACCTCCAGCCCCGGGGCTTGCGCCGACCCAGTGGGAAACCTGGTCCCCAGCAGCTCCTGAGCTTTGTTGACATTAGCTTATTTGGCTTTAGGGGGTCAGGACAGATACCCCAGGGTCAGCCAAGGCTTCATCCCTGGTTCTGTGCAAAGCAAGAGGCTCCGTCACAGCCTGCACGTTCCCTCCGAGGTTGGAGGTCCATCTCTGGGGGTGACCTTGGGACCTCGGAGGGAGGCCATCCCTCCACCCCTGCTCTCCTCTCTG